AGGAAGGAAGGAAGGAAGGAAGGAAGGAAGGAAGGAAGGAAGGAAGGGAAAGGAGAATAAACAATCCTCAAGTTGTATATTGCGGTAGCAGGGTTTCCAATCACTAGCACGATACAATGAACAGACCAAGAATCCAGAATGGATTATTACATACAATAATTATCATTTGATTGAATTAGGAAATGGATCATTGTTGTCATTTTAGAGTATTAAGAAGTGGTCTGGTGTTGCTAACTTCAATTTGGTTCAGTTTGGTTTAATCCCAACAACCTCAAATATATACAACAAGCTGAATGAAGGTTAATAGACTAGAAGATTATGCACTTTGTAATGCATTGCACTTATTGCTTGGTACACTAATGTTGCAGTCACTGTTGAGTTATGCTGAAAAGACAAGCATGATGCTTGTTGGCTTCTTTCAACCCAACACTAGTTATTTGCCACTTTGGTTTATTGTGAGTTTATATTCAGTGTCCATTATTAATAGGTTTAATTGAAAGACAAATACAGTTTTTTATTATTATTTCAGGGATTTCTAAAATAGGAACATTTTCTATAATTACAGTATTTTCAATAAACTTATATCTATGTATATAACTGTGGCACAATGTGTAAAAATATGAACGCTATTAAGGGAAGCATAAGGGTTAAATTATTCTATGTTACCTCTATTGGTTTCAAAATATTCTGAAAAACAAATACATCCTTTTTCATAGGGCTTCTCTTTGGAATTTTTTTATAAGACTATATCTTTTTCTAGTTTATAGTGTGTTACTTTTTTCTCTTTAAAGACATGGGTACAAACTTGGAATATTCCGCAAAGAAATAGTAATAAAGCTTCTTTTTTGATAAAGAGATTTGATGGTCTGCATGAACAGTCAGACTTAACATTACATTTTTTTTCTATTAGTTGATAAATGCAGGGAAGAACGTGACAAGGCTTATAATTTCATAAGAATCCGTGCAGAATAGAAATAAGAATTTGTGCCCAAACATTCAGTATAAAACTCCTAAATAATTCCATTATTCATCACAGAGTAGCCTGCAGCATGTAATCACAATAAACATACAATATGCCCTATATGTTCTTTTAGGCTTGATACAATTACCATTAAAGGAACTAGATCAGTCCCCTGTAAATGCCTAGGACTCAACCTTCCTCCTTTAAGAAAGTTCTTGTCTTAGACTAAACATACAATTCCTACATTGCACTGAGTAAACATGTGTATTTAACACAATCTCTTTCAATACAGTGTAACAAATATTTAAGTGCATTTTTAATGCTAAGTAATTTTGGCTTTCTAAAAAGAGCATTAGATGTGCCAACTTGGTTGCTTAGTTGTGCTTTACTCTGTACTTATGAGTTTTATCTCTTGTATACTGTAAGAATCTAATTGCCCCTATAGTTTTGACCAGTAAACCCTTAAAACTCTAATGTTTATTGAACAAATATAATCTAATGAATGTGATGACGTCACAACTCATACAGATTGCACTTTAATGGTTTGTTTTTTTTTTACAGTAAGACCTTCCCGCTTGATATGTGTTTACGTTTATACCACATTTTATTTCTGTATGCAAACAATCACAATGAATTTAATCACAAGCACTACAAAATATACCCAATATTTAGGTTTGTTATGAATAATCTCCTTCCTTGTAGTTGTATGAGTCTTGTACTTCCTGTTGTACAAATTCCTCTTTTTTCTCCCAACCATTAGGCCAGCCACCGTTGACCTGGGTTGTAGCACCATACGACTTGGTGGTACCATAATTTACATAATTTTGAGTAATGTCCCCTGTCTCTTCAGCTAGTTCATCTTCATGAATGAAGCCACATTTCTCTTCGCTTGTCTGCTCAGGGTCTGCCCAGGGTTGTTTCTCTCCTGAAGCAAATATGCCATAGAATATAACACCTCCATAATGAACTAAAGCAGCAATGAGGAAGACATACTGCCACTCTTCACGTGTCTGTAAAGAAGAAATTTGCTAAGTCAGACCAATTCATACACTTATCTAACTCTTCTGAGCTGAAAGATTTAAACTAGTGGTTGAGGCTGTGATGGCAAAACTAAAACATTTGCATATCCCATTTCCAATTAATTACGTACATCTTCCTTTGAAAATAACTATTGATTAGTATACAAAAGCATTGACATTGTGAGAAAATAGCGAGTGCCACATGCTTCAAATTTGCTGGTTCCTGGATGCTCTCTCCTAGAGCTCTCAGTTGGTAACACATATTCTGGGTAAGCTGTGTAATGAAAAGGTCTTTTTCATGGAATGAGTTAAATTAAACTGGAAGATTTGAAAACTGCACTGCCACTTACCTTGTTCTTTGTCATTGCTCCCACGATTATAGGGCATACCATTCCAGACAAGGTCCCGACTCCATTAGAAATCCCCATTAATATGCTGGCATACCTTGGGGCAATGTCTAAATGGTTGACATTGAATCCTGCAATGCAAACATCAGCAAACATTTGTACCATAACCCGAGCAATACTACACTTCTGCAAAGTAGTGTAAAGTAATTCACGTGACGGTTTTACTTAGATGTATTTTGGCTACTTATTTGCATTTATTTTTCTCTAAAAGGGTAACAGTACTTAAACACTCTTATGGTCCTCATTTTCTTTTAAAAAAAAATCATAAAACGATACCAAATATATTTTTCTTCCCCAAACTGAAGTTCTAAAATATATCCCAGTTGTAACTGTTTAGATAAACCAGAAGATATTTAGACAAACTCTGTATTTTCAGATTGTCATCGGTGAGCTTTTCATACTGTCAGTAACCTGTTGTTTCTTCTTCCAGCCTGTGCCACTTCCATTTAGTACTGCCCATGTTCTTCTTTCACATGGACTAGCAGAAGGCAGTTCCCTACTGTTTCTGAGTGGTAGTGTAAAAAGAGGCTGTCTCTAAATGATTTATAATCATGCTTACAATCTTTGATTGTTTCCTTGCATTATCAATACCTCAATCTTGTTCAAATGTCTATGGAAACTATTTAAAATATCTTGAAAGACTTGGTTCTATATAAAGTGACTGAAGTTGTTGTCCCCAGAATAAGTGCTTCTCTAAGTGAAAGCAGAAGCTAGTTCATTGGATATCAAAAGATAACAAAAAGAGAAAAGAAAGGTGTTTATATCTGGATAGCTTTTAGAAAATAAGATACTCTCCATGTTCTATGAAAAAGCATTGAATAATGTGCAGAGGAAAAAAAAGTAAAAGGTCAGTATCTAAACAAAGACATATACGTAAGTGTTTGTGCATAATGTAGTTCATTTGTGCTATATGTTTAATTCTGAGGAAATCCTGTGGTGAGCATGAGCACCTCATGGGAAAAAAAAAAAAAAAATTGCTGCACTGCATATGGAAAAGATTATTTCAACACCAAAAATGACGAGAAAAATAACAACATGATACTGATTGTAGTTTGTAGTGATTACAAATAATATTTGAATTCAGAGATATGTTCTAAATTTTTGTCAATGAATACAAACGAAATGAAATGTTATGTCTCTTAAGATAAAATAATGCATTAATAACAGCAGTATAATCTTACCTGATATGGCAAATCCGCTAAAGCCTACAGCAAGCACTAGGAATGAAATAGCCACTCCTTTACTGTGAGAATATCCCACCACAAGAAGAAGAGTTGCTTCCATACCAAAACCTTGGGAAATTGTAAAGAAAACCAGGCATCAGATTTAGTACCCTCTCATGTGTCACAGACTTTATGGTGGTAATATTGCTCAAGAGACAGATGCAAAACATTACCCTGAAATGGAATAGAATCAGGCATTTCTTTCCTCCCTAAAAAGCTTGTATCTGATAATCTATATTTTCTTGTTTATTGTTGCTTCCTGCCACCTTCAAACTCAAAATAAAAACTGTAATTAGGCTGGAACTAATGGAAGTATACCCTCAGCCTGTGATGAACTTTAAAGCTCTCATCACTGCCATGGTTCATTTCTGTAAGTTTAGACTCTGAGAGGTGAGGTCTGGAATCTGGGCTCTCTTAGTGCAGAGGGCTCAGATACATGAGTATCTAAGACTCACCTAGAAGCTACTTGTAAGTCAAAAGAGCTCACCTGCTCCTGTAGTAATCGAAATGCTTTTAGAACTATCAAACATGTCTTTTGAAATTGGATGTAGGAACAGATGTGTTTATATTAATTCATTAACCACATCTACAACACACACAAAAAAACCAACCCTGAAGTATTAGTCGTATGTATGTAAAACCATGCAAATTTAAAGTATGCAGTACACTGTGTGCCTATTAAGTCTGTACAAGAAACTTTTCTAAGGAGGTGGGAAGCCTTACCTCCGCAGTTCATTATCTTTCTCACAGTGGTGGTGGAAAGAATTTGTTTGCTTCTTAAGAAGTCGGCAATTTGTCCCCCAATAGGAACAATAATTGTCATCACTAGATGTGGCACAGCAGATAAGATACCCACCTAAAATAATGATGAGAAATAACAGAGCCTAAATGGCAAGAAAACTGTCATTTTTCACTTTCAGAACCATTCAGACATTGTTTCTCTTTGATTTCAGACGTTTTAAAACTAAGAATTGTTGTTGCATTTCCCAAAGAGCAGACAGATTTTTAAGGACATCCAATGCCTCGACACTTCACATTTATAAACTGTTCTCATTGTTTAGATTTAAACCAGAAGCTTTTTTTCCCTGACTTTATAGCCTTTCCTTTTCAGAAAATTAATGATCTAATATGTCTAACCAAATTGCTGCATTTCTGTTGGCAGTGGGCTTGGCACAGCATCGCCCAGCAAAGCTAACATGTCCAGATGTGTGAGGTCTGCAAAAAGATTCCCTGTGGATCACCCTCGTACATACATTTTCCTTTGATTTCTCAGTAAAGATACACTGCAAGTGGCATCTGGACACAGGACCCCTCTGAGAAAATCTGCTTATAGTGAAAGATAACATACTAAATATCTGTTGGTGATACACAAAATGCTCTGCGTGTTAGCAAACTAATTTTGTGATGACTGTCCCAAACTGTAAGATATTTGTAGATTGTTCCTTCAAAGCAGTAGCAGGTATCTGTGAGCGTGGCTCCAACTGCCACCCGCTATGTCCTGTAACCGCCTTGCAGATGGCTTCCTTCTGGATGTGTGACATTTTGTTCTGTGAATTCTGATTACTGTCTATATCTCAAAGCGTGTGCAAGGCCAAGGCTTTTGCATATTTCCTTTCTAAATAGTATATCAGCCTGTCCTGATGGCTGAGGTGAATTACATCAGTGTGCAGAGCAGATGCATTCCATGGGAATGGAAAGAAGTTTTCTCTGTGCTTTCACTGAACTTGTAGCTCCCAATTAGCTATTAACTATGAGTAAGTCCTGGTATTGCAATGACTACTGTGGGGTGTTCCTGAATAAGTGATAACTATTCCTTTACAAGCATCTGTCTACAGCAGATGAAGTGATGAACACTATGTTTTCTGCCATTGCTTACAAAGCTCCACATTTCTTTGAACACACTCTAAGAAAAAATCTTCTAGAACAAAATGACCAGATTAATTCTATACGATGTGACTGTTCTTATTGCATCCATGGCAGAAAATGTTTCAGCTGTAGCAAAGCTCTTTAAAATAACTCCAGCTACATTTAAAATTCCACTGTATACAATTCTGAGGAGTCAGTAGGCTGGCCTGAAGTCTCAAGTACCCAAACTAACGGATGGTTTGCTTTATCTATTAACATGCTACACAACACATAATGATTTGGGACTGAAATTCCAAATATTTTATTTTAGGCAGGTCAGCTGCATGCAATGCACCTGAGTGAGCAGAATGGCTGGAGCCAGGATCCACTCCTTCCCAGACCTCATTTAGGAGTTGGCAATGGAGCTGAGGGTGTCTTGCTGGAGTTCCCTGTCTACCTGAGGCTTCTTTCCCTTATTTCTGTGTTTATGGCTGTTGCATTTGAACAAATCCTCACTGCAGCCTAGGACCTTGTATGTCTGCTGTTATTGCTGTGCTCTCCATCTTGTTTAGTGTGGTTCAGTACCACCTAGAATATCAAAAGGATGTGAATACTTGAAATATACAAGTCCTTATTGCTTTCAGAAGAGGGAAATCTATATCGGTAAAAAGCTTACTATATTTTTCTGAGGCTTGTTTGATTGTGCCCCATTTAAGAGGCTGACTGAAAATTCACGAGCTAAGTGGAATTGTCAACCCTAAGGTATCATATTTTCCTGTCAACTGTTTCTCTTCCTAAGTAGAAGAAAGGATGCTGCTCTCCCCACACTAAAAGGAGGTGTAAGAAGGTGATAGGTTGGCAGGGACCTCAAGTCCTAATGCCCTGATAAAACAGGTTCTCTATAGCAGGTCATACATGTAGGTGTCCAGACAGGTTTTGAGTATCTTCACAGAAGGTAAAGAAGGCAGAATGCAGAAGTTCTTGGGTATATAAGGGTGAACTTCCTATGTTCCAGTTCTTGGATGTTGCTCTTTGTGCTATCACTATATATCTCTGAAAATATTCTGGTCTTGTCTAATTGCCTCTCAAACTTTCAAAGTTAATAAACATTGATCAGATTCCCTCTCAGTCTTCTCTTTTCTAGGGTGAACAGACCCAGGTCTGTCAGCTTTTTGTCCTGTGAGATATGCTCCAGACCCTTTAACATTGCTATTATTTCACACATAGGTGCTGGTAAATGGCCTAGTAGCCACGAAGGATAAGATCTGAAACCTACAAAGAACAACCACATGAAAATGCAGAACATCAGGGTTTGTTTTTTTCTACCTATAAATACTACAAATGTGACTGATTCTTGCTTAGTGAAGATGAAAGGTTCAGCTTGTTCTTACATACCTTGCTTATTTCAAATCCGAATACTTCCTCAAAGTAAGCAGGCTGACTAATAAGTAACAAGTAGAAAGTCCAGCTTCTACAGAAGTTTGCAACAATTATTGCATAGACTGGCATAGATGTAAAAAACTTTCTCCATGGAGTTTTGTATTTCTGAAACACAAGAAAGGAATACAGTCAATATTTTGATCAATAGTGAATATCTATCTCCCTTTTCTATTCCTACTTTTTACCTATTTTCTAGTAAGTTAATATATACACAATTCTATGTACTTGAATTCCAGTGACTTTAATTGTCCTAAAGTACATGCATCCACAATTGGATGCATTTTAAATCCACTTTAAATTTAATATAAAGACATAAATAAAAATTACACAGTACACAAGTGGGGAAACTCAGTGATCCTGATCTGTACCACAAAGTTCAGTTACAGATGCTGTTAGTTCTATAATGTAAACATGAATACACAATGCCCAAAACTACATTTCCTTTAAAGAAATCTGTATCTAAGGTGTTACTTTCACAAGTACAAGTGTGCAAGTACATGTTTTTGTTTTTTTTATCCACATTTTAATCACATATTTTAATATGTAGAACTTGATCTCCAAAATTTGACTTTAGTTTCAACCAAGTCTCAACTATGAAGCTGTTCGGTCGATATATTTTGCTTTGTTTTATGACTCTTTTTAAATGAATTGTATAATGAAAAAAGATGACAGATGGGCAGAACTACAGTCCTGCTGAGTGGCAACACCTCTCTGTGAGCTCAGGGTTTGTTCCATCTGTGTTGATTCAAGTGCAGGATCCAGATCCCAGTGAGTGTCTGAAAATTGCCTGAATATTGAGTTTTCTTCAAAAAAAAGTCCAACCCACTGGATAGAATCATAGGGCCTAGGTTGAAAAGGACCACAATGATTATTGAGTTTCAACCCCCCTGCTATATGCAGGGTCACCAACCAGCAGCCCAGGCTGCCCAGAGCCACATCCAGCCTGGCCTTGAATGCCTCCAGGGATGGGGCATCCACAACCTCCTTGGGCAACCTGTTCCAGTACTTCATCACCCTGTGTGTGAAAAACTTCCTCCTAATATCTAACCCAAACCTCCATATCTCAGTTTAAGACCATTTTCCCTTGACTTATCACTATCCACCATCATAAACAGCCGTTCCCCCTCCTGTTTATATGCTCCCTTCAAGTACTGGACAGCTGCAATGAGGTCTCCCCAGATCCTTCTCTTCTCCAAACTAACCAAGCCCAGTTTCCTCAACCTTTCCTCATAGGAGAGCTGCTCCAGCCCTCTGATCATCTCAGTGCCCTCCTCTGGACCGACTCCCAGAGCTCCACGTCCTTCCTGTACTGGGGGCCCCAGGCCTGGACGCAGCACTGCAGATGGGGCCTCACAAGAGCTGAGCAGAGGGGGATGATCACCTCCCTCTCCCTGCTGGCCACCCCTTTTCTAATGCAGCCCAGAACACAGTTGGCCTTCTGGGATGCAGGCACACACTGCTGGCTCATGTGCAGCTTCTCATCCACCAGGACCCCCAAGTCCTTCTCTGCAGGGCTGCTCTCATGGGGTTCTATGCCCAGTTTGTATAAACACCTGGGATTTCCCTGACCCAGGTGCAGCACCCTGCACATGACCTTCTTGAACCATATCAGGTTTTCATGGCCCCACTTCTCCATCCTGTCCAGGTCCCTCTGGATGGCTTCCCTTCCTTCCAGTGCATCGGCCGCACCGCTCAGCTCGGTGCCATCTGCAGACTTGCTGAGGGTGCACTCGATGCCCTCGTCTGTGTCGTCGACGAAGATGCTGAAGAGCACCGGTCCCACGACCAACCCCTGAGGGACACCGTTTGTGACAGGCCTCCACCCTGACGCAGAACCATTGATCACAACCCTTTGCCTGTGTCCGGCCAGACAATTCCTAATCCATCCAACAGTGCCTCCTTCACATCCACACCTCTCCGGTTTAGGGAGAAGGATGTGGTGAGGGACCATGTGAACGGCCTTGCAGAAATCCAGGTAGATGACATCCATCACCCCTTCCCCATCCACCCAAGCTGTCACTCCATCATAGAAGGCCACTAGATTGCTCAGGCACGATCTGCCCTTGGTGAAGCCATGCTGGCTGTCTCGAATCACCTCTTTATCTTGTAACAAAGCTTCTAGGAGGATCTGCTCCATGATCTTCCCAAGCACAGAGGTGAGGTTCACCAGCCTGTAGTTCCCTGAGTCTTTCTTTCTCCCTTTCTTAAACATAGGAGTAATATTTGCCTTTTTCCACTCACTGGGGACCTCACCAGCCATGATTTTTCAAATATGATGGAGAGCATCTTGGCAACCACATCAGCCATCTCTTTCATAACCCCACGATGGATATTATCCAGCCCCATGCACTTATATACATTCAATTGCATGAGAAGGACTTGGATTTATTCCACTATGGGACAGAAACCACTCCCCACAGTATCACCTAGAGGCTCATGGTCCTGGTATACATGGGAAACCTGACCACCTGTGAAGACTGAGGCAAAGCACTCATTGAGTAGCTCAGCTTCTTCTATGTCTGAGGAAGCCAGCTCCCCATTATCTTTCATCAGAGGGGGAACACTCTCCTTGGCCTGTCTCTTTCTGCCTATGTACCTTTTGAACCCCTTCTTGTTGTCTTTCACATCCCTCGCCAAGTTCAGCTCCATCTGTGCTTTAGCTTTCCTAATCCTATCTCTATACACTTGGACAACAGCCCTGCATTCCTCCCAAGATACACAACCCCGCTTCCACTTTCTGTGTATTTCCTTCTTTTCCCTCAGTTTAAGCTGCAGGTCCTTACACAGCCACGATGGTTGCCTGCCTTCCCTGCTTGACTTTTTCTGGGGAATGGAGAGCCATTACGCTCTCAGAAGGGCGTCCTTAAAGAGCTGCTAGTTCTTTACATATGCCATTTGTATACTTATCAAATTATACTTAAGAACATCTTGAGAACATTTTCATATGTAAACTATACATTAAAAAAATATTGCCAGTATTTCTAATTCCCTGTTTAATCTAGATTAAAGGTTTTTTTGCTTAGAGGAAATTCCTGAGGCTTGATAGCATGTCTCCAGCAGTTGCCTCTGTAATGGGGGATGTTCTTATGAATCTACTAGAATGTTCTATTTCATCTGGCAGTCTTTCCTTAAAAGCAAATACAGAATAGACAGGATTTGCTATTTCTGATGTCTTGAGTTCCTTAAGGTGGTGCTTTTCCTCTAGTTTACTTTTATGAAGATGAACACAATTCAGAAGGGATAAATTATGAACCACTTGAACTCAAGGTAGCATGAAAGTCTCAATAAGTTTTCAATTCCAAATGCAATTCTAGCTTTAGCTCTAGCTCTTTTTAAAAATGTATTTTACATTAGTAGAGAAAGACCAGACATGAATTCCATGACTGATCCTCTCGCACCTGTGTTCTTTTCATGCAGAAGCACTATTCACCAAGAAATCCTTCAGCAGATTTCAGATCATCCCCCGTCCCCCCCAGAAAAGTTCAATTGTTGTCTGTCTTAAAATATCCAACATACTGCTATTTTTATGTTGATTCATTTTGGTTTTATTTGTTTGGTTTTTATTGTTCCTATCTCATAGCACATAAGTGTATGAATATTCTTACTTCCATTGCACCTAGTAGGTTGGCACTCTCTCCAATGCTTTCTTCTATGTATCGCCTTTCTTCATCTGTGATTGTAGGATGCTTTGCAGGACTCTCATACGAAACCAAAAGCCAAAACATGTACCAGACTATACCAAAGCTCCCTTTGGAATGGAGAAAAAGGCTTTCAAAAGAAATGCACAGTAAAGTAGCAAAAAAAGAAAATATGTGGATAATTGTAACAAATTTAAATTGCAAATGTTGTTACTGCTTCTCTACCAAATCATTCTAAGAGCCAAATCCTGTAAAAAACAATTCTGTAAAATGCGTGCAGAGCCTTGAAGACTTCTGTTTCATTTACAGAGTGACTTCACTCTGCGTGAATATCATTTATGTTCTAACATTAACTTGTACTACGCAATGATACAACTCCCCTTTTACATTACATGTAAATGATGGTCTGTTCTGCTTTAGGCCATTTTTTTTTTATTACTGAACAACATTTTTTTTTTTTTTTTTTTTTTTTAATCTTCAAAGGACAAGATTGTGGCACTGTTTTCAACATAGTCACATACCCCCTGAGTAGTTTAATAATTTTCTGTGATATTTCCCCTTAATTCACATCAATTTTTTGACTGAACACCCTTGGGCCATTTTTTTTTTTTTTACTATGAGTGTAATTTAATGTAGCAGAACTACTGTGGGTAGAGGGGTGTACTCTTAAGTTACAGTTCTGTAAGAGTGATGTTACCTCTGAGAATCTGGGTTTCTATAGATTTCCATAGCAGGCTGCACTACTACTAGAAGTGATGGTTTTTCCAGTCTTGTTTGATAATGTTGCTCTCCTTTAAATTCAGTTCATTTTCTTTTTCTCAAGACTGCATTTTTAGATTATGGAGACATTCCTGTTTTGGAGGGGCCTCTTCATGGTTACTTTTACATCTCTACATGGGGTAGAGTAAGGTCATGCAATACTGGAGTGAGATGAGAAGTGCATACCATACACATAGAACACCGAAGACCACCCCGTATATTGCACTAGAATCCCAGCTAAAGGCATTGCAATAACAGCTCCTGCATAGGAACCTACAAAACAAGATATATATGGATGAAAAAGTGAGGAAATTAAGTCTCAAAGTACTCCTAGGTTACAAATGAAAGCGAGACAAAAATTTGAAGTTACTTACCACAAAAGGAAGTGGTTGCTAACCTACTTCTTTCTAATGGGGGGGCCCACTTGCTCCAAATCCCATGGCAGGCAGGGTAGGTGACCCCCTGGGAAATGGGCATGCCACAAGTTAGATGATGCTGATCAATCAAGTAGTTCATTTTTCTTTTTTGTGTGAATATTTGTTTTAACGCTGCTACAAACAAGGTGCTGAGAATGCTTTACATTCCTACAGCAAAGTCTGAGCACAGCCACAGGAAAACTTCAGTTTCTATTAAAGCTACAGTGTGTTTTGTTCAACTCAACATTTTCCTACTTTTTCAGAGGGAATAAAATATCAAATAAAGAGAAAAGTGGCTGTATATAACTATTCAGACACCACAGTAGTTCTCAAGCATGAATTCTGGGAAAAAGCACAGCATATTTCATGTTACATTTTCTAAAATTTCAACCCTGTAAGATGCAGTGATTTCCTTGCAGTTTTCCTATTGTGAGTTAAAGGGTGGTTTTGAAGAAAGACATAAAAGGTAACTCCTTTTAAATCAAACAAAAAGCACCACACAATTCTTTAAGAGCTCAAAAAGGTTCATTAAAAGATAGTGAATTACTTCTGACATTATATTTTTTAACTCTTGTTGATCTTATTTGATTGTTTTAGAGCAATGGAAAAGAAAACTATTTGCTAAATTGTATTTGGAATGTTTGAAGGCCATCCTTTGTCCCTCCTTTGATACTTATGCTGATACTTGTGCATTTATATTCTCTTTTTCTTCACCATTCTGCCCTGGGAACTGGGAGGCAGAGTAAAAAAGAATATTTATGTTTTGTATCTACACCATTAGCCCTCTGAGATGGATCAGGATTTCAGTAAAACTTCAATGTTAGTTCTTGCTGGCTTCTCAGCAAGGGGAAGCTTTTGTAATTTTATAGGTATAGGAAAATCAAATTGCTGTAATTGTAAAAATTGTAACACTGTACTAAAAAATCAGGAGTAAATTGGAAACTTTTTTCCTCATCAAATGAGATGATTGCTGTTTAAATGCTAATAATCATTTGCCGGTAATTTTATTTTTCCATACCTCTACAAGGCCCTGCAGGATCCTGACAAAGATGACACACCCGTAATGCACCCTGGCTGCAGATGGTATCAACATGTTGAGGGAGGATGTCAGCAGTATGGCAGCACCAAATACTCTGCAAGGGTGGAAAAAAAAACAGTAAATGAAGTAACTTCTGTAATGTTGACTTAAAAAAGACTTATTTCACAGATGTTCACATACCAACACAAATAAGTTTAAATGTTTGAAATTTACATAGGGAATATGCTAACTGCTGGGCAGGATAAGCATCTACTTTCATTTAGTCTTATAGTCTGTGTGATAGCACTCAGACCAAGCACAGACATGCAGATATCTATTTTGCCTAGTGTCTTGAGTAAATACGTCTTGTGTAATCACACCTGCATCTTACTCTTTATACTGCTCCACTCTTCCCTAATTTTTACTTTTCTTTCAACCAAACCTAATTCGATTCTCTAATATCTGGAGAAATTAGAACTCCATATGTTTTGTTAAAACAGGTAGCTGGGCATTAGAGAAACTCTCTTAGGTGCTTTAATCATAAGAAAGTGGCAGCACGTGTTCACTACTTCTAAAGTAGAAACTCTCTTATAAATGCCAAAGCAGCAGGAAGAATTTCAAACAGAGATGTAATGTTCTTAAACACAGGAGCATTTTCCATGGGGAATGAATTATCCTTTCTGTTGTTTTTTTCTAGGGGCCACTTACTCATAGATTTTGACTTTGACAGCTTCCCAGCAATTCTGTTGTTTAAAGTACATTAAGAAGTACAAGCATGAAATGAACTATCATTTAAAAAAAAATCCACTTTAAACTGTCCATTTTCTTTGTACAAAGTCATGTAGTGCTAAGAAAAATCCTGAGTATATGTTAACATTGTGGTATCTGATGTGGAACTGATTTGACAGAGCCCTCATCTGTTTAAAACTACAGCCTGATGCAAACACTTAAATAGCAAGCTGAATATATTCCATGTATAAAAGTTTGATAAGTAAGAAATGGCAGCCATACAGAGAAACACTGCTTGGCACTTAAAGGAAGCTTCATTAAACAGCTTCAAACCTGATCTCACTGTGTTCCCTGCACTCTGTATCTGATGGCAGACACAACTTAGCTCTGTGTGCAGCTTCCTCCTGCCTTCATCTGGCAGCATGAGCAGTGCATTTGCTGGGCCTGACTGGTGTATGTGTTTGTGTCAGCAGGTTTGGCCTGACTTTGGTCATTATTCTTAATTTTTGTCTGTTAGTTGTTCTTTTGTAGCTTTGTGTCAGTGTGTAGCCTTGCTAGAGCTAGTATTAATCAGCACAACCCTTTTAAAGTCACTGTTCCTAGCAAAATCATGTTAATATGGAACGTGAATTGTTCTCTTTATAAGGATGAGATCTTCGAAATTGTTATGTAACTGTTTATTCAAGGAAATTTAGTATAGTTTTTTCACTTCTGTATCTGGAATCTGCTTCTGTTTGCCACAGTTGAAAGCCGTGTTTCCTAGAATTTCTTTGTTCTCATGTTCACTAAAAAGTAGCTGTTTCCTTGAATCTGTTCCTTCCAGAAAATAAAGTAAAATGCAATTCAGAGAACGATCTGACTCATATATCTTCCAAACAAAAGATCTTGCCTGTGTTTAACACATAAGTACTAGTGAACATTCAGTTACACTGAGGATCAGATAATAGAAGAACTCAACAATGTTTCTTGAGCATCAGCTCTCTCTCAGAGCCATGCTTTCTCAAAATCTTTCTCAAAAACAGATCCGTTTTCTTCCAAATAGCTATGGGATTGAGGTTAGCATAAATAAGAGTTAAATTCATGATTCTTGTCAGAAATGTCTCTCTAATTTGCATTCGAGAAAAAAATTAGAAACTACAATTTTAGTGCGTCTGCTGTAGAGAGCCCATTTCCTCTGTAACTCCCAATCAATGGCAGATGCATCTTTCATTTGGTTTGCATTTCTTTGCATTTCTCAGTGCACACTCATAAATAACATTAGTTTTTTGCCTTCTTACGTTTATTCCCCCCCCTCCCCCATTATAACTGAATCCTTTTTCCTAATGAAGTATTGTGATATGCTTCTGCTTTTTTTGATACAGATTTCCTGTTTATTGTTTTAAATATCTCAGCTAACTATATTTATAATGATTTCTGGCAAATAAGAATGCATTTCTAAGGAATTTTACTCTCCCACACACCAAGCCCCTGAATTGTATTATTTCAGTTCTTACCATTTTGTTGCCTTTATTAAGCTACTGATTTTATGACTTGTTTACATTTTCTCCTCATCCTAACTACTCATTCATCTGCATAAATCTGATGAAAAAGGTCAGACAGATTATGTATATGTTAAGCCATGTTTTTCTGTAGGATCCCCGTATTTCCATAACAAACAGACCCGTAGTGTTCATAATTGTACTTACTGCAATTGAAAATGATTACGTTTATGTTATTATGTTGTTATGTTATGTTTCTGAACAAACATGATTCTCTTTGAAATGAGACCAGCATGCAAAGGGACAAATATTCCTTCCTATCCAACACTGCACCGTTCTTTTTATACGTGTATGTGTCTGTCCTCATAATATTCTGTTATCATCTTGAACAGATCAACATGACTCTCAATGGATACAGTCTTAAGCTACCATGCCTTCCTGCGCATTCCTTTGGCCATGGCTTCTGCAGCAACATGGACTTGTGCTGAAGGCTTTATATGTCAGGTACAAATATGCCGACATTTCTTAAAGAGGAAGCCAGATCCTGCTGTATTGTACTGAGACCATCTGAGGAATTGCAAGTAGCTGTGCTGTTGAATTTTCGTTCAGAGGTGTCCATAAGCATTTGTTTCATTCTGGGCATGCTCTAAAAAACACAAAACATATCTAAATTCCATGGTATAAATTAAGAGCTTTAGAAGATTTAAGGTAAAATCTGGGAAAAACTGCAGCAAGCCACAGAGATGGAGCAGGCCGATGACAATGCCATTATTCTCTGCCTTGGCATTAGGAGGGAACTAAACTGTTGTGATATCCCTTCAGCAGCCCCTGGATAGGAGGGAAAATTTTTTTCTGATCCCAAAACAGCAAGTGGTTTAAATATATAGAAGAATTTATCCATACACAAAGGACAAATTAATAAACATGGTATGTCAGGGAGGAGGTAAAAATGTAAATCCTAGCCCACAAAAGTGACTAGAATCCTTGAAAGAAGGAATTATGCTTTGCTTATCTATTTCCATTTGTAGACTCAGTAGATTCAGTCCCAAAAGACAGGATCTAACATTGAACCTCAGTGTTTTACTGACAAAAGCATTATACAGAGGTTGTGAGCTGGGACTTGGTCCTTCTGTAATACAAGTAGGAATAACAGCAAAATCATATTTGACTAAGAGACATTCAGGATGGGAATAGAGGAAGGAAATGACTCTGACAAGGCAGGAGAAATACTTAGAATGGAATGAAGTTGTGGGAAGAATTAATCTTTTTGATTTTCAAGCCAGTTGGCTCATTTTCCTCTTTGGGGAAAAACTAAAGAGAAAGAAATGCACTTATTTTCACCTCTGGATTTCTAATCTCTATGAAGTCTCACTATTCACATCTGCTTTTTTCATGCAATCCATATTACATGAGCATTCTGCATGGAAGCGCATTATAGATTTGGTTACTTGGTTGAAAGAAGTGTCAGCTTATAAACTGAACTGAGAACAGTGGGAATACAGATGCTTGCCAAATGCTGAACACCAGATGGGTGACATATTGGGTTACGCATATGATATCCGAAATTAAGGACTCCTGGTTGGAAGCATCCTTTTACCCAAAGGACTGGGAGTGAAAATTGCTCCAATGACTCCATAAACCTAGAACTCTTTTCCCATGTGCATGGTAGGACTCAATTCCCCAGCTGTCAGAATCTAGTGCATTTCGTTGATGTCATTCTTTAATGTCACTGAAGATTTAACATTATGTCTTCTTATTCTCAAATAATTGTGGTCTACTTTCATTAAAAATAAACTGTTAGACAAAATAATATGTCAAATCTAAAGCATATGGAGTACCTTAACTAATGTCCATTCTTTAAAAAAGGAAAAACAGATAGCTGTATATGTTCAAAATAGTAAATTTAGCTATTTATTTCAAGAAGGTGCTTTAAGACACTTGAATATATGCATTATGAATGAGTTATGAATGTCACGTCATTAAAATCCCAAATAATTAAGGAATAGTAAATGCTGGTCACCTAAGACTACAAAACAAGATGATGTATGCTTGTATGGAATAAAATTGGGAGCTATAAGTGCATAGAAGGTATCACATCAGATTTCGTTATAAACTAAACAAGTTTTCAGTGACTTTACTGGAACAACCATCAAGAGCAGTAACTGAGTATTTTTCACCTCCAAAAAGTCAATGATCATCATTTCACCTAAAGCCTCTCTGTAGAGTAAGAAAGTTTGTTGTTGTTGTTGTTTTCATGATTTCTTAGGGAATCTTGAAGAAGTACAACATTCCATACTGCTGTGGTAAATTAAATCCGTTGTTCTGATTGAAAAGAGGAACCTATGGAAAATAAAGCCCATATTCCTTTTTGTGACACACAACATGTCTGCTTGTCTGCTTCACAATTTTACAGTAATACTGATCACGTTATAAGGACTTGATTTTAATTTGGTGAATTATTGGTATTGAACATTTTATACAAATTATTATCTTCTCTTTTAATGCTGTCTGAACTTTTTTAGTGGTTCAATTAATTGCTTTTAGCACCTTTAGAATATTTCTTTGCATGGCTTTTTTGTCATCATCATGGATGAGTTAGTATGATCACCAGTATTTAATGACTCTTCATTGATGTGAATGCTTTCCCATTTTTTCCCACAGTCCTACAACAGCTAAGCCAGTAGTAACTGAGCACAAGTCTTTCATATAGGCAATTTTTCATACAAAATCCAATATTTGGCCACTAACAAACACAGAATGTTTTTCCTGGTCTTAGATGAGATCCCTCTGTTTAGCGATGTAAACTAAAGTGGAGTGAAAACATGAACATTTCTTGAAAAGCTTTTCCAGTGTAGCCTAAAAATATTATTGCCATTTTCTTCCTTACAGAAAATAATGTATTATGTTG